ATGTAAGTAGCACATACCACAGGGTTATAAATTAGTGCGAGGAGCTAGGATCAGGATTTACAGTTGAACGTTAGAGTTAGAAATTATATTCAATGCTTTTATCACCAACTGACATCAACTATACTGCTGAAATGGTATTTAACCAAATGAGTAGATGAATCTAGTGCCAAAATCTAAAACTTGCCATCTTAAATCGTATTGGTTCGTCCATAAATTATTGTCTTACCCAACTCCTCTCTATTTCCTTTTATATTCTTTCCAACTTGATCTTCTCAGCTTTCTGCTACTAGGTTTTCGATTAGTGTTACATACTACTTATGTCTGTTGATATAACTAGCATCATACACCACAAAAGTAGTAGCAATTTGTTACATATATAATTCAACAGATATGTATATATTTCTTGAGATAATAGGCTATCTTTTTTCTATTTTCAATCTAATTGTGGACAAATCCATTCTCAAAAGTGTATTACTATTATCATGGCTCAATTCACTTTCTCTTTATATTATATTTTATCTGTTTTATTCATTAATTTACAATTAATTAATATTATTATTAATTTCTATAATTGAATAAATGTAATGTATTACGATTAGTTGGCTGATTAATTAATTATTATTTGTACTCCTGACTGTTGTTGCTACCTTGACGTGATGGTCGGGTTTGCCTATCGTGTTGAACCAGTCGAGCTATACTGGCTGAAACAATCATTCTTCAAGGTCCTACCATGCCAGATATGTCGGTTGATGAGCGGTAAAACTAAAAGCAGCAAACCCAAGTTCCAAGGGCGAAGTCATACTGCTGACTGTACAGAGGTGTGACAGCAGTAAGATGTTTCCTACAGACAACCAGCACAACACCGATGCTGCCTTCCCATAAGGAGGGGGCGCGGTTGGAAAAGGTTGACCCTAAAAATGCGCACCACCTTATCCCACGGATAACCGTCTCTGGCGGTAAGGTCTCATCAACTACGGAGCTAACACTAGAATTACCTACAAAAAGGTCGTGTGTGACCGACCTCAATCAGTTGTCCGTTAGGCACTGCAGTCACTCTCTCAGGTCACCAAAACCACCTTTAATCTAATTTCGTTTTCAGGTACCTCCAGGAGAACCTTCCCATGGTGTGGGCAACCGGGTAGTGATAACCGCCCTCATACTTCTAACAACACTCAAGGCCATTGACTATTATTTGTACTGGATCCTTATTTTTTTTAGCGCCGTCTATATGCACTAAACATGGTCATCGTCATCATTATCAACATAATCACTCCCTATATTATTATTATTATTATTATTATTATTATTATTATTATTATTATTATTATTATTATTATTATTATTATTATTATCTACACTTTAGAGTTGACGACTCCATTTTCTTTTATTTTCTACACAGTATTGTCTTTCTTGCAAAACAAGTAGCTTGATCTATTGAACAATGAGTTTTGTTTAATTTCAAATCTATTTTGTATGGGTTTGTTTTATTATGAACTGATTTAGTTCAATGTAAATAAAACAATGATAATATATGGTGAATAAGAGAAGCTATTTCAATAGAATTTCTCATTCATATTAGAGACATACATTTGTAGATAATAAACAGTAGACAGATAGATGATTTCCTAATGAGACAAAATCTATTGTTTGGCAATTGAATAAGTTATTTAAACAAAGCATATAATAGATACTATAATTTGTGTGTAGATACACTAAAATACAGTTTTTTTGGCTACTTGACATACATTACTACTTATATATATATATATATATATATATATATATATATATAAAAGCTATTGAGAAGTACTCACAATGGTTAGAACTGGTTGCCGTGAAGTAATCTATCCGATAAGTTATGTAAAATGTCACATTATTGTAGTCTGTACTGAGAATAACATAGATTAGATGGGAATATTGTTATGCATACAGATATTAAATATCAGATGAGTTCTTATATAAAACGACATTTCAAGGATATTTGTAGCGTAAAAATGAAGATAAGCCTTCAGAAAAGATTTTTTATTGTTCCTCAGTAAAGCAGTCGTACGACAGAACACTATGGATTAGATACTACTTACGTGACCTTGGAATATAGACGATATATTAAAATAGTTAATTGGACTTTATCAACCAATAGAAATCGAGAAAATATATCAGAATCCGTAGTTTTTCTAGTCATATTGAAATTCCGAACGAATCGTCAAATTGAATAGAACCGTCGACTTTTTTTATCCGATTGGATTTAACTGCTTGAGTTGAGTCTTATATAAACGAAGTTTATTATTCATCATTTATTGTTCAATTGGAAGTCAGATTCTACACTGCTTATCACTGTGCCGGTTCGAAGCTATGGAAAGTGGTGTTACTTTAAAGATGTTAGATATTTCAGCGAGACGGGCATAGTTTATGAATAATTTGTAGTTTAGGAGTGCTTAACCATTAGACATACATTCAATGCAGAAAATGTTGTAAATCGATATTCATACCTTTCCGGTTAAATTTTGTCATGATTCGACTAGTTGTCATTTATACCAATTATATCTAAAAATTTATATATTAAATATCTATCACTCCCATTTATTATAACCATTGCATACTAATACACATTTCTAATGTAGAGATGATCATTCATTCTGATCGAGTTATCTTGTATGGATGTACGTATCTGTATACATATGTCTGTATAGGTTTTAATGATAAACGAGTGAAGATGCGACCAATTCATAGTTGATACCGTGTTTAGAGACAATTTTCTCTGATATTAGTATGTAGATTAATAGATTGTTGGCTAAATAATAATTTCTGATCTTAATTGATTTAGGATATACACAGTTTTTCTTTTTTTGATTTATTGTTTGTTTAACTTGTTCTTTTTTTAAAAAAAAGTTTCTTTCCTGATATATTTTCACTATTCTCACGGAAAATAAAATGCACGGTATGATTATCTGTATTTTATTTTGTTTCATAGTGGAGAGAATTCATTTGTTTGATATTTTAGGCCGATAGTTTTATATCTAAGCAAAAATAAATAGTGGTTAGCAGTGAAATCCAGGATGCACGTTTCGTCCTATTTGGGACTCGTCACTTGAATGTACCTACATCCCACAAGCAGGTGGCTATCAGGACTCACTAGCTAAGTGGATAGCGTGGTGGCGTTTGAAGCAAACGGTACTGGGTTCGAGTTCCGGAGTGAACATCAACTGTGGGATGCAGGCACATCCAGTTGACGAGTCCCAAATAGGACAAAACGCGTGTCAAACTTGATTCGACTGCTAGCCACTATCCATCTTTGCTTAAAATGCTTGTGATTTAAGGCTATATCGAGGCAATCCGCATAGGATGCATACATGCCAACAAGAGACTGATCAATTGCAGTCCTAAATAACAATGGGAAGATACAAGTAAAACAAAACCAAGTGAATCGATAGTTTTATAGCTAAAACAATCATTTTTTTAATTATAGTGTTATACTGGAGTCGAGAGTGCACATTTCGTCCTAATTGTGACTTGTCAACTGGATATATCTGTATGCTAGAGTTAATATTCACTACGAGATTCGAATTATGTACCGTTCGTTTTTATCCACATCTGTTTTTTTAAAAAAAAGTGCTTGTGACTTAATGGCATTATTAATCCTGAAAGGATGTACATATGCCAAATGAGACTGATCAATTGCAGTCCTAAACATCAATGGGAAAATCCAAACAATTAATACAAATCAATTATTATGTTGTAGATCTCAACCATTGTCCTACTACCTTCTTTAGGATGAACTTTGAGTGAGATGACTCAGAACCGTTCACAATATTGAGTATTTTCCTCTTAACGTTGAGTACTAGTAACCTTTCGTGAAATACATTTCCATCTATCTTCTCAAACCATATTTTCAATAATATTCAGTTTTTTCATCATTCCTACCACATTATTTCGATTTTTTCGTTATTGTCAACTCGTCGAGCTAATCAGGTATGGTAACTTGAGACAACGCATATCTGTGCTAGGCTCCGTGCGGATGATGTTTTTTTTCTGATATGGACATGCGTGTCACACACATCATACTTCAAATTTCGGTTATATGGATCTATACTGGGATACTGAGTGACATCATTATTATTTGTGGAGCTTTGATTAATTTATCCAATTATGTCTCACATACTTTGATCAAAACATATGAATAGTGTCATTTTGATGATCTCGCGTGCAAACACCTAAGTGTGGTTTAAAGTTGAGTAAATGAACCTGTATACTTGGATTCTGAATTACATTATTTTAGGTCAATCATTTTTGAGCGATAAGTTTATAGACATTAGTTTACACTTAGGTTTTTTTTCAGCGCAGAACAACATCATTTAGAATATCATTGAAAGTCAGAGTACACTGGCACTCCGATTGTGAGGGATAGAGATACTACACTGTTAGTTAATCCGAAGTACATGGAACGGGCTTCGAAAATGTAACTTAATATCTGTGAAAGTTCAACTCGTTTAGTGCTGATTTACTGCTCCACCCAAAGTATTATAGAACTATTCCACCGTAGTTTTGGTTACTGTTCAACTATTTACACACACTCATGACACCACTAGAGAATTAAACTTATAACCTCCAAGTCTAGTAATAATCATATTACGTCTAAGTCACTTAATGATAATTCAAGAGTTTATATTTTCAACATTTTGTTGAAATGATCTTATCCTTCAAACGGAGGCGTGATCGTGGATGCGCACTGCTGAGGAGTAGTCCCACAGTAGGACGGAACGGTCATCCAGTACTTCCAAATTTTCTGTGGTGGTCTACCTTCAATTGACTCATTATCTAAACTATTCAAATACATCTGTTTAATACTTTTTCTTAACATTCAATAATTCTTAAACTTACATCAACTTATTAGCATAAGATTTATACATATTTATGAGTATGTTGTCTTTGATTGATTTGTATATGAATTTTTAGTATTATATTCTCTATCTTTCTGTCTCTTATTATTTGTCATTGGTTAGGTAAAAGAATATATGCCAAATTTTGTTTTACGATATCAACGGGAAGATAATGGTGTGTGGTATGAACATGTAAAAACTGATGGTACACGAGTACGTTTACAATAATATATATATATATATATATATATATATCTCACAAGAACATAATGTTTTATTAAAGTAAATTATCTTTTCATAATTAATCTTTCTATATAATGTGCATATGGGAGGTGAAGACAGCGAAATCAATTTCATAGAAAGTTGTCTTTGAATATTGACCATCATTGTTAATTTTGTAGTTTAGTTTCAACAACATAATTTGTGTTATTCATTTTATGTAGTGAAAAGCAAGAAAATAAATAGTTGTAGACAAGAATCGAGATGTCTGTGAGAAAGTGTACAAAAGTGAGATGAAAGAAGGCAAAAGTGAGGTAGGGAGGTGAGGGTTTTGTGATAATTAATGATTAGTAATAACAATACTAATACTAATACTAATACTAATACTAATACTAATACTATAATAATAATAATAATAATAATAATAATAATAATAATAATAACGATGATATAGTTCTTAAAACATAATTTTGGCATGGATTGAATGTTTGTCTAATTAATGAATAAATGAAATGAAATTTATAAGAGGTAGGTAGATAGGTGAGTATATGAGGTTGGTTAATGTTTGTCAGTTTATTTTAGTGTGTTTAGTCACGAAAAAAGGTTGAATACTTTCAATTCAGTAACCGAAACCCCAAAGCTTTGAGAGGGAATTCTCGGAGATCTTATGAGAAGCTGTGATCAATGGAGTCTAACCGTATCGCGTGTGAGGCATTTACCCATTGAAGATAAAAGAAGACGGTGGCGCAACAACGTGGTTTGGTTGAAGTTATACATTAAAACTGTTGGATATCGGTTTAGTGGTCTAGAGATTAAGGGTTTGCACGCGAGACTGATTTTCCCAGGTTCGACTCCAGCGTGTTGGGTCATGGATCGTTGATGTGTACTGCTGAGGAGTTTCATACTAAGACGAAGCAGCTGTCCAGTGCTTACAGGTTCTCAATGGTGGCCCAACATTAATCAGTTCATGATTTCAATGGCTTTCATTTAATGTGTTCTGGATAAAGGGGATGATTTTACATTCGATTACGTTTAATCATAGATTGGCACACTGTAGATATTTTAGTGTTGTTGAGTATTTTGAATTAGTTGGTTAAATTGTTAAGCTTTAATTATCGTTCAGTGGTTACTTCAATTAGAAGTGAGCTTCTTAGTTATTCCATATACATTAAAACATTTTGTTTCTGGTCGCTTTACTTATGGATTGAATTTTCTTCGTAGGTTTTTTTTATCTTCAGTTGTAGTTGTATTTCTACATTGCTTAGTTTGACCTTTGGTTATATGATTGATTGAATTCTTCCAAACAGATCGACAAGTCAAATCTATTTCAGTGGGTTCATTGATAACCAAATGATTTCAATGTCATATTTCCAGAACTGCTCTATGATTCTTAGAGTTTTCATGATCCAGAATTTCAATGTTTTCTCAGTCTGATTCATGTCTGTAGTTGTTTATGTACATTTATATTAATGATAACATATTGTATCATTTCACTGATAGTTTGTGTTCATGTATCTAGGACATTTTGTTTTGTACCGCCGAAATTCCAACACTTCGATTATAAAACTAGTTACAATGCAACTTGTTTACCTATAACCGGTTTATATCTTGCTAATGTAGACAAGATAAATAGTCAAAGTATGGAAACACAATGTTCGTGCCAGATTTTCTACTTTTTAACAGTAACTGAATAATTTTCTAAATATGTTTACACTTGTAGAAAATTTAGAGGATACTAAATGAAATGAATTCACATCACATTTCATCTTATGTTTGTGAATGTTACTTAACCATTGTAAATGTTTTCATACCATTCCTCATTAATTGTTTTTATATGTATATACATTTGTCTTATCAGGTCCTCAAAGCTAATAATGATCCACGAAATATTGCTAGAACTACACTTGATTCAGTGGTTATCGCTAAACGTATCCGTATCTACCCTTATAGTCATCGATCAAAACAACAAGTTTGCTTACGATTCGCATTGTATGGATGTGATTTCCCAGGTGAGTGGTAATATATACACATGGATATTTTCATCATATTCATTTTCAACGTACACTTAACGCAAAACCCATTACATTTTCATATACACACATATACAATGCTTGATGGATTTGTGGTCGTTGAGTTATTATTGAACTTCAGTTTATCATATTTCATAGTTTGAATCCTACTCTCATACTTCTTACTTCAGTTTGCTCTGTTAGGTAGTGTTATTATCCATTTCTCATTTTAAGTATGTTTATAAAAGTGACTGAAGTAAATGAAATAAGGTTTTAATCTGTAATCTCGGTGTAGGGATCAAAATTTTAAATATGTTAATCATTAGTCCGTTACTTCACATGATTTCATAAAGTTCAGTGCATTCATATCACTTTAAATACTAATTTATTATAAATCCGTTTTTTTCTTTTGAGTTAATGAGATGAAATGATAATACACTGGGGGATAGTGAGAAGATTTATAGCGTAGAAAAATGTTACTTTTCTCTTAAATTATGTAACATTTGTGAATCATTTATTGTCATTTATAGGTGATATTGATCAGCATAGAGGTTAAAAAAAAGTGGTCTTCTATCAGTAGTAGTTATATATGTTTGGCTTCAAAATTCAATAAGAATTAAGTTCTGGGTTTGTCGTTTGATACAGGGTCTTCGATATACACTTCCAAGTTATCTTGTTACACGGATGAAATAACTATCCAATACCTCTCTATTATTCAATAGTATTCCAACGAAAATCAGTTTGTAACAAATGCAACCTATAAATTGAATTTATTTCCACAAAACACTGCTGAGGAGTCCCACAATAGGACGAAACAGCCATACAGTGCTTCCAGGTTTTCCATGTTGGTCTAGCTTCAATTGACTCATGATCTCAACTATTAAAATTACTTTCATATCCACAAAAGTCCCTTCTGATATTAAAAATAGCATGTATTGTTAATTTAACTGATTATGTAATCTACTAATTTAATTAGAATTAAATAAATGAACTGTTTACTTTGAACATGGAGTTGTAACTACCTCTATAGATTCATTTAGCAAAAGGTTAAATTGTCTATGAAACATTCATCTCTCGAGGATTATCAACATACATCGTTTAGTCTCCCTTAAATATTGTTGAGATTTGATTTTTTTTAGAAATCTAGTGGTATTCATGTTGAGATAAGCCTTACCTGCATTTGTTTATCCTAAGAATCTACTTTCTATGATCTAATACTTTTTAATATGTTAAATAGAAGAGTGAATAAAAAAAACGACGACTCACCACATCAGACGGCATTTGAGATCCAGTTGAAACGTTACACATCATACCAATAGATTCTATGGAAGATTGATTATTCTTCGAATATTGTTTCAGTTAAATCAAATCCCTATTAATATTGATTTAAGGAAACATGAAATCGATATGTTTTATGTAAGCATACAAATTGAATGACCGTTTCAGAGACAGTCATAAAATTGATTTTTCATTGATAAATGAATAGTTTAGACATTCCGAAAAATTCTTATCTGGGATACTGATTTTATCGTTTGAATCTACCTTAATCTAACTATTGATTTTCACACTAAGACACGAATCTACTGCTTATCCTTTCAAATTCAAACGCGTTATTTACTATGCTACTTATTTAGTTACGATATCCGCCTACTTGTTCACCGGGTATGTTATTTACAATCAGTTGTACTAAAAAAAAATACTACCCATTATATCCGTTTTTATTTTCAATACTAGTCACGATTCATTTCATAGTTATTTATTTAGTAGTGAGTTAGCGACAACCGAACGCCATATTGAACTGATCAAAGTTAGGCTTGCGTATATTGTATGCCCATTTAGTGGTTTAGAGATTAAGCGTCCACGCGCGAGATCGAAAGTCCTGAGTTCGATTCCCTGTAGGATGGTCGTAGATAGGCATTGCCGAGGAGTGAATTCTAGGACGAAACATCTATCTAGTGATTTCACGTTTCTATTGCTTGTATATAGCTATGAAAATAATTCATTGTTAATCGTATCGGTTCATTGGCCATGAAATAATCTATCAACAGACGGTTAGTTGTGTTGAGAAAGACATAACTGCTGAGTAGGTCACAATTCCGTCTACCTAACGGAACATATGCTAGCGGTGAATAATGCTTTTTTACTCTTAAAGTTAATTATGATTATATCTTCGCTTATTGTTCTCACTAACGTTGAAATGAGTAATTTTCTAAGTGGAAAATTTTTTTTGGGAATATTACTTTTGATCACGAAAATGAATGGAATTTTTCATGTATTAACATGATTATATCTGTCTATTTGTTATATACTTATTATTCTCTTTTTCGATTCGATGAATATACATGATTTGCATAGATGTTGTATGTGTGCAATAGATACCATTTTTAATGCTTCTACTCTCATTTGCCACATCAACCACTCCGTTTTTATACTACCGTTACTTTTAATATTATCATGAATCAATCGATAGTGAATCATTCAATTCATCTACCTACACACACACACACACACACACACACACATACTCATTTTTATACAAAAACCATAAGGCGTCAAATCTCTCACTCAGTCAGTCAATTGGTTGGTTAGGGTTAGTCAATATAATATCAAACATAATGTCTATTTGATAAGATTAGTTAACCTCCTTTTTTTAAACTGTTACGATTATTCATAAAATAAATTAGGTCACAAATTCTCTGTCTATCATTTAAATTAATGGATTTGATGTTGTTGTTGATGATGGTGATGATGATGACAGTCTAATTTTATTTCAGAATCTTAAATCTCTGTAGACATACAGAGTTTTATGTCTTAAAGCTATGACCTGACCTCTAGATCATAGTTATATGTTCATATATACATATACACATTGTTATTAGCATTTTTATATGGATAATTCAACTGAAGAAGGTATTTTATGATATAGGTTGCAAATTGAATAATTATTGTTTTGTTTTGTAACCAGTTGTAATCGTTGTTACTGTATATGTGTATATGTATTTCTCAGATTACTTCTCAAATTACCATAAATATGACAAATACAAATAACGATAATTTGGGGTTTCATTCCAGATTGTATATGATTGAACATTCAGAATGTTCAATGAATATGTTCTATCCAACATTTTCTACCACTTTTTATTTGGCGAATCGGTGCTGTATCACGGAATGTAATTCTTATTAAAAAATTCATTTCAATCGTTTGTAGTTATCCGCACTCGTCTGCTTTGAATATGACAATGTGACGCAGTCCAATATCAGAATGGGTTTTGTGGAGAGTTTTAGAAATTTCACAGGTTGAAATCATGAGTCAGTTGAAGCTAGACCACCATTGAAAACCTGGAAGCACTGGACGGCCGTTTCGTCCTGGTATGGGACTCTTCAGCAGTGCGCATCCACGATCTCGCACCACGCGGGGCTCGAACCCAGGACCTACTGGCTTCGCGCGCGAGCACTTAACCACTAGACCACTGAGCCGGCATCCAACGGTGTTATTAGTAAAGAAAATAGTGGAAAATATAGAATATGATTAATGAAAAACAAATAAATCCAGGAAATGGGAAGTATATGATAATTTTAAAGCTCTACGATCTAAGGAAAGACAAGAACGGAATGAATCATTCGACTCATTCTGTGGCATGTAGTCCATCACAAGACGAATATGGAGGACTTGCGGAGATTGTAGTATTTCTACAGTTAACATCACTAACTGATCTTAACTGGACGACCATTGAAAACCTGGGAGCACTGGGCGGTCGTTTCGTCCTAGTATATGGCTCCTCAGTGGTGAACAACCACAACGTCGCACGCATGAGTCAAACTTAGGACATTCAGTCTCGATTTTCTTCTACGGGGTCATGGGTGCGCACTATTGGGGAGTCTCGTACTAGAGCGAAACGGCTGTCCAATGCTTCCACGTTTTCAATGGTGGTCTAACTTAGATCGATCCATGATTTAAATGAGAATATGAATTGCGGTAACGATAATAATAATAATGGTAATAGTAACAGTAACTATTATGAAGAATTTAATGCCAAATAAAAAGATGTACGTAGAGTTATGAATAAGAAAAGTATCTTGCGATGGGGCGCAGATTATGCTAACGGGAAACGGACAAAATTCAAACTAACAATCAAAAACTTTATCATAGGTCAAGTTAAACGGAGAAGATATATGTATCTTTTACTCATTTATAAGTTTCTTTGAATTAATTAAAATTGTTTTTGCTAATATAAAGCGTTAACTTGAACCTCTTGATAGATTACTAGAATCTTAATGTATTACTGAGAAACTTATCTTCAATTTTCATATCATATTCATAATCAGTTAAGTTAGCAAACAATGAAACTATTAACACATTCTGTAACACCTTTTCATATCCATATCAGTATGTGTTTACAAGCACATAATATTATGGTCTTTTAAGTATTCTCAATGTAACTAACCTCATTTTCTATATAAAAATTCTGATCACAGTGTATTATGTTTAATTATCAAAATATATCAGCAATCAATATTAACCAATCAACATTCTCTAAAAATTTTCAACCAATCAGATTCTTTCAACCGATCCTATTTGTTGTTGTTGTTGTTGTTGTTGTTGTGATTGTTGTTTTCTTTTGTTTTCTTCTCGTTCAATTGTTCCAATTATTATGTACATATTACTAAGAAAATATGAACATTTACTAATCTGATTACTAATTAGTAAATTGTTTATTTCAATCAAATCATGTTTGTATGAAAAAAATATATACTTTTCTTCTTTCTGTTTTTTCCTCTCGCTTTCCAAATCAAAATATTTGAGATTTTGTACATTTTAATCAGAGAGAGTTACTTTATATAAATAATTAACTGACATTTGTCGATAGATAGTTTTTTTCAGAATCCTATAGTAATCGAGTTTTTTTTGTGAAGAGAATTGAGGGAGGGAGGAAGAGAATAAGGAGGGAAACGTTTTCATTGCAGTTTGATTAAATATATGATAAGCATAGTGATAATAGTGAATTATAATAGTTGAGATCATGAGTCAGTTGAAGCTAAATCACCATGGAAAACCTGAAAGCATTGGACGGCCGTTTTGCCCTATTGTGAAACTCTTCAGCAGTGTACATCCATGATCCCACTTCGCAAAATTCGAACCCAGGACTTATTAGTCTCGCGCACTAGACTATCTGCTCAATGGTCTAATAGTTGGGCGCTCGCGCTCGAGACTGATAGGTTCTGGGTTCGAATCTCGCTGGGCGGGATCTTGGATGCGCACTATCGAGGAGTACTCCCACGGTAGGATGAAACGGCTGTCCAATGCTTCCGGGTTTTCCATGGTGTTCTAGCTTCGAATGACTCATGATCTCAACTATTAAAATCACTATAATATTCACAAAACCCCTTCTGATAATAATAATAATGAGTCAGTTAACTAATATTACATAAATGTGTTTTTTATTTATTTATCTATTATAATGTTTACTTGTTTGTTTGATTGCATAGAATTTATACATATTCAATGTTTCTGATATGTGTATGCCATCTATTATGTGAAATAAGAGATTGTTCAGTTTTGTGTGTTAGTCAATATGATTATGAAATGGTATTGTATCATATGTCATTCAATCAACATGAATCCGTTAAGATCATTCCTCAGTGGTGTATATTTTCAAGTTATTTCTTATGATATAATCAGATGTTAAAGTCTAATAATCAAACTATTATTGTTTGTTTTTTTGTTTAAGCAATTCACTCAATTAAAAAAAATATTGTTCTTCACAGTTTGTCATCAATAACAAGAGTAATATTAGTAACTAAATAGTCACTACATAGATAATTTTGTTGTCTTTCAGAAATTTTCAATTAGTGCTCATCACATGAAAGTCATATAGGAGAATCAAAACCTCAGGACATACATATATTCTGATTGAGATCATGAACAGATTGATGTTAGATCACTATTGAAAACCTGGAAGCATTGGACGGTCGTTTCGTCCTATTATGGGATTTAATAATCTCCACAATCCTATACTGATAATTACCATGTGCTCACTAGTGACTAGCTTCATGAGGGGATTCTCGGAGTTTTAGTGAGAAACTGTGACCAGTGGAGCTAATCTGTGTCGAGTAAAGACAGGTATCTACCTCAATACAATGGAATATGGTCGCACAATATCGTGGATTGGTTGAGGTTGGACATTAACACCAATGGATGAGGGTTCAGTGGTCTAGAGGTTAAGCGTTCGCGCACGAGACTTGAAGGCCCTGGGTTCGAATTTGTTATAAGTGGTCGTCGCTGATTGTTGTGCCGGAAAAATGCTGATCACTTATACTGTTGATGAGTCCCACAATAGGGAAAAATGGCTGTCCAGTGCTTTCAGGTTTTCAACAGTGATCTGACTCAATCAAAAACTTAATAATCTCCACAACCCTATACTGATACATAAATATATTACAAACCATGGAGTTTAAATCCAATAACTGTTGTATAGGTTTTGTGAAGACTTGAATTTTCATGGTTTATATCACGGACTAATCTTAGTTAGACTACCATTGGATACTGCAAAGCATTGAACAGTTGTTTTTTCTCTGTATGGAACTCTTCAACAGCGCTCATCCATACGATTTCATCTTGGATCGAACATCAGGACTTTCAGGTCTCACGACGAACGCTTTATTAATCTTCAAATCACTGAACTATCCTATTTTTTTCCTTATATTCAATAGTTGTTCAACCGAGATTAATCCATGACATAAATAACGGGAGTTCAGTGAATCCCATTTTTGATCATTTGGAATTATTGAACTGTCTTCAGTTTCTTCCAAATGCCAGAGCTTACTAGAGAAAATAGAATATGGTCAACAGTAGTCGGATTCATATGACTAATAAGTAAATTGATCAGTAGCTCACAGCTTGGTGTGATTGAGTATTTCACTAACTTGTTTCATCTATACCCTCATAGTAGTACATGGTTTCTCGAAACCTAAATTAGTCAATCAATTTTAGAACCCAATACGACAATGTGGATAAGATATATGATTTTATAAAGTGTTAAATAATGTCAATTTTGTGAATCTTAAAATGAAGAGTTTTTCTCACAAATGATCAGTTGGTAAAGAATAAAATTAATTTGATCAATGTACTAGTTCCTTGTATCTCATTAGTTGAGATATCGTTAGAATTAAAACTGGCGATTGGTCTGTGTTGATAAGGTTATTTACATATTTCCTATTTAAACAGTAACCCTCTGATACAATAATCACTAACTGAATATGAATTTCAGTCTTGATTCGATTGTTACAACATTATTTTAACTACGTTACTAGTCATCTTGTTCATTTCATCTCTTCATGCTAATATATTATGACAGCTGCTATGGTTAACACACACTTATACCAGACTCCACTTTAGTGATGATCAACTTACAGTTCGGATTTTCAAGTTGGTTGTGTTATCTTGTTCGGAAGCGCTTGATTTCAGTAATAACATAGAGGTTTTTAGTTATTAAAATGTTCTTTCAACCACAATCGTTATCTATCAAATGGAATATTATAACCTTTAATATTTCTATGAATTATAATGTAAATTCATTTATCATTACAGATGGTGTCATATCTTATTCAATGCCACAAGGTGATACTATCACATATGGTCAACAATTATTATTCGGTTCACCTTATTCTACTATTCCACAAAATTTTCAAGATTTAACTTATGATGGTCAATTGATTGAATTAGAAAATCAATTGGTCGGTGGAATAGGTCAATTAATGGATAATATTGCTTATTTAGGCAATGTTACTCAACATTCAGATTCTCATCCAGCTCAACCTGGTTTTCATTTTATTGGTTGGAATGTTCCAAATAAGAATTTACGCATTGTTTTTAAATTTGATGAAGGTAGATCTGTGTTTTTTTTGTATAAATTACTAACTTATTTTTTTTTATTGTAGTTAACTTTTATGAGTTGTATTGGCTACAAATTTCTGTTAAAGCTATTTTCTGTGAGGTCTGAAATTTGTTGGTTAGATTCCTTGTCTAGTCGTTGGTGTACACTACTGAAGAGAGTTCCGTACTAAGACGAATCAGCTTCCCAGTATTCCTTTGATTCTTCAGTCGTGCGATGAAAATCATACATACATTTCATAACTCATCTTTGAGTTTTAATATTGTAGATAGACAAAGGAAAGCTATGCTATGCTATCTAGCTTGACTTTGAGATATCTATCGATTTATATCTAAATCCATGTTTTAGTAACTTAATTATCCTGCTTCAGTTTTGGTCCCCAGACAGTATTCTAGCCCTCACATAAATCGAATGACGAAGTGTGGCTCATATTTATAGGGTGCCTCATTGTACCAATGTTTATACGTTAAAATAAATAATTGTCGTCAAGTTACTTACATATGTACATTTTTATGCATGAATCTAAATAAATACTTACTTAATTACTTACGTCTGTTACTCTTAATGGAGCATAGGTCTCCGACCAGCATTCTCCAACCCACTCTATCCTGAGCCTTCCCTTCTAGTTCTATCCAACTGTTGTTCATTCTTCTCATGTCTGTCTGTCCTCATTTCTCGGAGTATTGTGTTCTTTGGTCTTCCTCTCCTCCTTTGGCTTTGAGGATTCCAAATGAGGGCTTACCTTGCAGTTTAATAGTAATAATAATGATAAATTTCTTTAATTTCATAACTTTTAAAACATTTTTCTAACTTATTTGTTTTCTTTATTTCTATAGTTCGGACTTTTATTTGGTTACGTATATTCACATTCGACTCTGTCCCATTGAAATCACGTGTATTTTCACAAGCTATCGTTGAATTCAGTATGGATGGAAAGAATTTTGATAAATCCATTGAAATTTCAACAAATCATGCTCGTCTAATTGATCCAAGTCAAATTAATCCAACACGATTGTCTATATCTGATAATGATATACAATCGTCATCATCATTATCTAGATTGAAAAGAACATCAAATTCAATGCACAATGGATTAATTCAAGACACTATAATTTATAATAATCATGAATGGGATGGTGCATTAGTAGTACAAATCCCATTAGCCAGTTATAGAGCGCGTTATGTTAGTTTGACTTTAACATCAACTGACTCATGGATTTTATTATCTGAAGTACAATTTAATTCAAGTAAGTAGTTTTTATGAGTTTTTTGTTATGTGCATGTGTGTGTATGTGAAATTACTAGTTTTCCTGGAATCGTAATGTCTGCTACTATGTCAAACCCACATAGGTTATTCTGGCTTCTGTACAGACCAATTTATCCATTCTTCTCAAGCCACATTATGACCTTGTTGATTATTCGCTTATTAATCCTGACTGTTTATATGATCGTGTGTTAATTGCTCACTCTATTCATTACCTGTCTGTAACTTAATTTTGGTCTGACTGTAAATATTAAGTTACACTTGGTTAAATTGAGTTGTCTCACTCGCCTTCTCCACCACGCATCTCTTCGTTCTCAGTTTTTCCTCAAGACATTCTCCGTTTCCTTAAGTTTCGCTTCTCTTCCTTTACTTCGTTTCTCTGTCCATCTGTTTGGATCAATGGGTGTACGAAATATACGTATTCGGAATTCATTCTCGTATTTGACTTATTCCGTTATTCTCTAACGCGAATTAAGTCGATAATTACGAGGGTTGGCAACATGTATATTTTCGATAACAATCATCATACAATCTAACTAGTCAGATAATATGGCCAGGAGGCGGATGACTGAAGTTAGCGAGCAACTGTATTAACTTTTCCAAATTTCCATGATGCTTTTTTTTTCAAAAAATAACGAACTAAGTTGCTAAGTTTGTTAGTTATGGACATAAATAAATAAATAAATGACTGACACCCATTATTTCCAGTTATTATGACTGTAGTAGCCTTTATTCAACTACTAATCGATGATAGCTATAATTTCCCTATAAGTATTACATGTTTTATTCACTGAATATCTGAAAATGAGCTTACATATCAAGAGTAAATACTTACGAATTTCTGACCTGTAATTCAACCATCACTCTGGATCCCTCTTTCTCTCTCTACTTAACACTGGATGTAACTTCATTCTCGGGATGCAAAGTTGTTATTCGAGTGCATTAAAATGTGGAATGTTGAAATAGTTAAAGGAGGCTATCTTTAGATGACCTTCAGGAATGTTTTCAATAATAGAAACGAATATAAGACATATATATATTATCAGAAAAAGGGAGTATTTTAAAGGAGATAAAATATTATTATAACTAGTTGGGATAACTAAAATCTTGACAACATTTGTCTTCAAGATGATTATATACTTTTCTACATGATCTTACTACTCTACTGTTACATTTGAGCATAAACTTAGTTTGATTAGATTTTTTATCGAATATTTCTTTCCATTTCATTACTTTATTTGTCCACTATTTGGTTCATACATACATACATACATACATACATACATACATACATACATACATACATACATACATACATACATACATACATACATACATACATACATACATACATACATACATACATACATACATACAAACAGTACACAGAAACATGGACCTTGGACAAATAAGTTATCTTTTTGTAAACCTTTTTTTAAATCTGAGTTAAATCTTATGTTTTTGTCTAATTGTTCGTCATATATTCAGAATTTCTTTTCTGTTACCTTTTGCTTAATTATGTATCATTTAATAAAATTTCTAGTACTGAGAGTATTCTATTTTAGAATCAGGGGTTTGTGGAAATTGTTGTAATTTTAATAATTGAATTCATGAGTTGATGTAATCTAAACCACCATTGAAAATTTGGAACTACTGGACAGTCGTTTTGTCCTAATATGGGACTCCTCAACAATGTGCATCCATGATCTCACACCAAAGGGATTCGAATCCAGGACCTTCGATTTCGCGCGCGATTATTTAGCCTTTAGACTATTGGTTCATGATTCGATGGTGTTATTGTCTAACTTTAATCGACCTATGATCTTGTGCAAGCCGTCATTCAGGACGAAACGACCGTTCACTACTTACAGGTTTTCAATGGTGGTCTAGCTTTCATCGACTTATGAATTTAACTATTAAAATAACGTATTTAATTTTCTTACAATGAAATGACAGATTATTGCATCATTCATTGTTCCTTAAAAGTGTTTATCATTAAATAACAGTTACTGTTAGCGGGACATAGACTAGATTAAGCATGCTCAATGCATGATTGCTTTGTTGCACGCTGATTGGCTAATTCTTACCCAATCAGCACTAGTCGATAGTTGGAGAACACTCTGGAATCTTCTTATGTAAAAACTATAGATATACTGACGTTTTCCCTATTGTGCTTCTGACTTGCTATTTGGAATATAATCTCTTTCCTGTTCAACCGTGTTCTGATTTGGGGACTTGTCGAGTGAATCGGTGTCCGAGAATACCAAGCAATAGGAATAGCTGGGTCATAACCGTAAGAAGAAAGAGGTTATAACAGTTACATTTGTATCAGAAGGGGTTTTGTGAATATTATAGTAATTTTAATGGTTGAGATCATGAGTCAATTGAAGCTGCTAGACCACTATCAATTTCGTGGATTAATTGAAGTTATACATTAACACCGTTGGATGCCGGCTCAGTGGTCTAGTGGTTAAGCATACGCACGCGAGACTGGTAGGTCCTGAGTTTTAATCTCACAAGGTGGGATCATGGATGCTCAATGTTGAAGAGTCCCACAATGGGATGAAACGACCGTCCAGTGCTTCCAGGTTTTCCATGGTGATCTGGCTTCAATTGACTCATGATCTCAACCATTAAAGTTACATCTGTGTTCAATAAATCATGGACTATTATTATTATTATTATCCAACGATATATATATTTCACCATAACTGTTTATCATTTTTCTCACGATTTCTATCCTACAAATAATATTATTCGTTGAGATTTTTTATTAGAAAAAAATAATAACGTTACATGTCAATTCGATCCTGGGAATCGGTAATGACTATAAACGGTTTTATGAGAGAATTCTATTTTAATGTAAGAATGTGTAAACTAATTTTGATGTATGTTGATTGTCCCGATTTAAATAGTTCCTAATCAGGTTTGTGTTTGGTTCAGATGAATGTACACACGTACATATTCACGCTGAGCGATGATTTGTACAATATCAAATCTTAATTCACTTCAGTTTAAGAAGTTAAAGGGATAATTCTTTATTTTCATATTCTAAGAATATGTTACTGAATATGATTAGAATTATATATACAGTTTGATTTCACCAGTGAGCAGTATTGGCTGATAGGTTTCAGCTAGATATTTATTACCGGATGGCATCAGTTGATCATTGTGAACTATTTCGATGAATCGACAGAAGTTGGGATTTGGACCATTGGATTGTGATTTAATCATCTAAAATTTAATAACAGCGCTAACTACATATTAGATATAAGATTTGTTATGTTTTTATTACTGAGTAATCCTAAAATGAATAAGGAACTGCTGTTCGATACAATTTTATTTTCAATGATATTTAATTTAATCTCCATAAATATCTTCGAAATTCCTCTCATTTAAGATAGATAGATTTTAGGTGACAGTGTAATCCAAAACTCATATTTCGTCCTATTTAGGACTCGTCAGCTGGATATCATATATATCGGTGTCAATGTTCCTATTGAGGATTGAACTGAGTACCTTTCATTTCAAACACCAATGTGTTATCCATTGAGCTAATGAGTCTACTTATCCACTAGCTTGTTCAATGAGTATTTAGGTGTTAATAAGGATCAGTAATTTCCTGTTAAAATATTCAATGCTGTATCTATCCCTTTTAGAAAATAATCCTATGATAAAATAGTTATATTGTTGAGGTGTAATCTTCCTATAGGAGGGATGTACATCAATAAAGATTGATCATAATTCACTCTGGATCGTGGTTGTGCGCTGCTGAGGAGTCCCACACTAGGACGAAACGGCCGTCCAGTGCCCCCAGGTTTTCAATGGTTTCCTAACATCGATCGATTCATGATCTCAATCAAAAACTTAGCAATCTCCACAACCCCATACTGATAATTCATTCATTTTCTTAGCCTTAATCTATCCAATTATATATACATCAGGATTGATTCAATATAACATTTTCTTGTAAAAACTTCTTAATTTTTCCTTTTCTTCATTGATTAAGAAGTGAATGTAACGAATTATTGTGCTCTTTATTTATATTATACACTATATAGCTATTGTACAGCCTAAATCTCTACTACCGTTATCATCCAATGAAGAGATTAATGATAATAAATCAATGGAAAAATCACCGATGATGATACTTCTAATCATTTAGATAATTCTCAGAAGAAATTCAATACAGATGAAATTCATTTCGTGCTTCACCAAGAATAGGGGATCATTCAGAAATATTAAATAAACAAGATATAAGAAACTGTAAGCTTTGTTTTTGGGTTAATATTATTATCAATGTTCATTTTGGTTACAGATTTTTCGCATTATCTCTCCATATAAATATATTACTCTGAGTAGTGGTGAGTGTAGATATGTAAGACACGACAATAGGCAAGAGAAATGTATTTTTGTTACGAAAAGTTACAAAGTCTTCCATTTTCATCTTTCGGTATGTTCTGCAGTGTGGACCGTCTTCTCGTCTGGTCTCCACGATGTTATTCCAACACCGTTTTTGATACACTGAAACTCTTAACTTCATCTGACAATTGTAGCAACTCTGATATCACGTTCCATTACATATTAGTTACAAATAGCTTTGTGAGTAGCGTCCACTACGGATGTAGACTAAGGTTTTGAATGAATTATGAAATTGAATCCTACTGAGATGTGTATTATGTCATTGTTTTTAGTGACGAGAAATCGAAATTATTATTACTCTTAATTGAATGTCGTTTCTGATTGAAATGAATGTTTGATAGTTAAGATAGTGAAGTTTCGTCTACTAGAGTATTACTTTGTATATTTAAACTATGTTCTTTATGTTTTTGGTTTGAATAGCTAATCATGAAGAGTTTATTTAAGAGTTCATAGATTGTATCGAAGCTTGAAAATCCCACTAGTCTTAGTGGGTTGATGTCTAACAAAATCTCAGTATGGATTCAGAAGGATTATCTGTGACGTAAGCGAGACATCCTTCCAACTAAAGGACGAGTTTACTGTTTAGTAGTTCGTTCTGTTATGAAACACGACCTTCAAAGATAAAGGGTAATTTTAGGTTAATATTATTTGACGATAGATGGTTTCGAGGCATTACTAGTATATTTTGGGACTATCGAGTGAGTAATACTGATGTCAGAAGCAGATTCCTAAGGGAATATTGGAAGTAGGACGGATATGATAGGGAATCTTCATTCATTAAAGTGGTTGGGACACGTATTACATATGTCTTACCATCTTCATTCTTGACGGATGACGTTTACTACTTTATGTATAGACTAGAAGAAATCTATGAACGATCAAACGGAAACATGGTATCAACTTATGAAGTAAGTGAATATTAGATCAAGCTGTGTTGATAGGTGTAAACTATCAAGTTGAGGTTGGGTTGATTTTGTAACCAATGAGTGGAGAAGAAGAGTGACATAGATCATAGTCGGTCTCATTGATATGAATCTATTTATTCACTCTTTACTTTTCTTTTTATTTTGATTTTAAGAATTCTCCTATACATTTTATTTTGAGAATTCATTCTTTCTTCTCTATACCTATACCTAATACTTTATAATACTAATGATACTGTTACTACTTCTATTATTTAATCGTTCATCTTGGTAACTACATCTTTACTGACACGAAGTATGATAACTTATGGCGATATACATATTATGTTCTAGGTCCTGCGTTGTTAATGACTGATTGACTAACTGAGATCTCATTAGACAGTGAGTATAACAACAATCTATTCTTGGTTAACTAAGATTATAATACTAGATGAGATTTATAATATTTTTCTTAGAACATGAAATAACCGACTAGTTTATGATTGGTAACAAGATATTAGTACCGGTTTAAGTTTTGAATAGATTGTAGAATTGAAATTCAACCCAATTTGAGTATAAATTGTTACCTACATCACTAAAATATAGTAAAGAAAGAAAATCCTTTGAAAGATAAAACTGTTATCCACAATTTGGAAGTTTAATTCTTATTATGTTTTATGCTACATGTTTTTTTTTTTCATATTTTAAATTAAATTGATGTAACAACGTCGTTAAGTTTGAATTTGTTTGACAGTGAATATAGAAGAAAAACTTTTCCTGGAAAAAGTTTAAAGTTTATTGTAGTGCTGTAGGTATATTGATTATTTACGAGCATCATTTCACACTTCTCATTGTTAGTTTGTTCAAGGTAATTGGTAGCAGATATTAACTAGCAAGATGTATCTGGAATCTTTTGTGATTTGGTTATATTTGCGGGATTCGAACTCATATCATTCACTTTCACAGTCTGAGATGTTAAAAATGAATTATACTGGTCTTAGTTCGCCTCTTATAGGGCTGAGATATTTACATTGATCGATTACTGAGTAGTGACAAATGTCATGTTTGTGTTGACCTTTAGTGCTGGTTGTATATTCTGTCGATCGAGTTGCACTTTAGCCATTAATCTAAATGATTCAGCACCGCTTGTATTGTTTCAGTGCTAGGTGGTTAGTAGCAGTCAGGAGGAAACCTTTCACTTTTTAATTTTATCTGTTTCTTTCAAATTGTGTATGCTTGGATATTGAACGATTTATGCAGTAGCAATCTGGTGTATTACTACTTATGTTAACAGACATAAGTAGTATGTAACACTAGTCGAAAATGGAAAACCTAGCAGCAGAAAGCTAAGAAGATCGAGTTGAAAAGAATATAAAGGGAAATAGAGAGGAATTGTTACTTGGAAGAATCATATAAAATGTGAAGGGCAAATGATGGAAATTACTAGATGACGTGTTTAGTGTCTGATTCTCTCATATTTTATCAAGAGATTCTGTAATTTTGTGTTAAATAGTAAATTAGTTGTCTTCACCTGAGTTCTTGATCACTATAGCATGAATCAAAGTGTTAACAGGCCAATTTTTTATCTCATATAAATCAACAACCAAAAATATAAATAGATTTAATTACTCTAGTTCCGCATCGGTTATACTAACTGTAATTACTTTAATCTGTCGTGAATTCTAATGCTTGAGATCTTTTAGTCTTCATCATAGTGAATATTAGTTTATTAGATATTTCCAAACTTCTTTAGACTATAATCCTTTTGGAATCATTTTTTCACATTGTGGTGAACGAAGACCCAGGTATGATGAACTAATTCACTGTTTTCGTAAGATATAAAAACATACATTAAATGTATCATTTGGATATTTTTCTTCAGTTTTCTTGTACATACTCTATCATTCTTCTAATTTTGTTGTTATACCGATTGCTCTCTGTTTTCCTTCCTCTTCTCTTTATTCCAATCTTTTGCTAGTAAGCATTCCACCTTCAATTCATACTACTTATATCTGTCCGCATAAGTAGCATACACCAAAATACCTACACTGATGAATAACGAACAACCGATTGGCACTTGATAATGATGGAATTCTAACTAGTTTCTTTTTCTATTTGTTTGGTTCATTATCATACTAATAACTTTTTACCTCTCATCCCCTCACGTTTTACATGTATCGGAAGTAGAATTTATCAAACAGAAAATTTACTTTGATTAATCTACTTTGGTTACATGTGGTCAAATTAAGAATAAATGTATTCATTTGTTTATTCATTCATTCCTCTGTATTGCATAATTACATGTATATAGAAATATTCTTGCGTATATATATATATATATATATATATATATATATACTGCGCATGTCTACTACTATATTCCTGTTATTCGTTTTTCTTTTAATCTAATTTATTTTTTTTCTTTTCTTTGTGTAACGTTCCTGTTCTTTGTCTCTCTTTGTGTGCTGTTTCTACTCTCTCTCTCTCTCTCTCTCTCTCTCTCTCTCTCTCGTTTATTCTTTGTATCATTAATTAAATTATCTTACTAATACGTATTAAATGGGTGAGTAGATCTAGTCTGATTGATGACAAAAATACACTTGCTCAATGTAAACGTGTTTATACATATATAGTGATAATTTCCAGTTCAAAATTGTGGATATTGTTGAATTTCATTGAAATCATGAATCGGTCAAAATGGTCGCACGAAATCGTGGATTGGTTGAAGTTAGACATTAAAACTGTTGGATGCTGGCTCAGTGGTCTAGAGGTTAAGATTTCATGAGTAAGACCGAAGATTTTCGGTTCTATCCTTCGTGGTAGATTCGGAAGTGCACATACTAGGGCGGAACAACCGTCCAATGCTTGTAGGTTTGAAATGGTGGTCTAACATTAATCGGTCCATGATTTCAATGAAATTTAACAATCTTCACAACCCCAAACTGATATATATATATATATATATATATATATATATATATATATATACGTTGGATATTTAGGGGAGGTATTTACGGACTCAGTATTTAAACACTAGAATACAAATCTAAAGCCTGCTTCGCATACTTTGTGATTAAATATTATAGTTGCTATGAATAGTTACATATGCGTGCACATATGATGCCTCAGTGTTTCTGAACTTGTACCTCTAATTTGACGGATGTCTTTATGAATGAGTGGATGATAAAACTGTCCGGTGATGTTGTGGTGGTATTGTTGTTGCCTCTCTTTATTTCCTATTCACTCATTCATTCTCACACTCCCAGTCTCTCTTCATAGTAACAAACGAACTACTTATTATTCATCTCTTACATATCTGTATGGAATAAAGACTACTATCATTAAAGTATAAATCGGAAATAAATTAATTTTGGATAAGAAGTATAAACAAACACGAAATCAACTATTGATATACTTGATCTTCATCATCATCATATGTGGCTGATTCTGTTTATTTCTCTCTCTCTCTCTCTTTCAAACTATTCATATGCATCATTCATTGTTATTTGTGTGATTGCGTCATTTCATTGAATATTATATACTTCTTCTTTAATGTAAGTATCTATGTGTTTGTATATGTGTACCTATGAAAGGGGATGTATATATGTGTATGTATAGTTATTCGCATTATGAAAGACTATCATTTTGTTACTCTCTTTTAACAAGAAACACGAAATCTTTTGTTTTTACATTTATTGTTAGGTGGTTTTTCTTTGAAAAACTTAACACAATCTAAATTATAAAGATTTTTTTAAGTAGTGGATAGTATTCAATCTCTTAGACGTAATAACAGGAAATTCAATAATTGAACACAGACAAATTGAAATTGATGAATAGATTTGTTTGAATGTTATCTGTGTGTTGATGTACAATTAGTACAATCATAATAATGATGTGGATGTTCAGTATTTATTTTCCTACCAATCCACTATTTCAGGTTACCTCATTTACAAGTTAGAGAAAGTGGAGTAGAGTAAAAGGAGTATAGGTATCTCCGATATTGAAAAAAAAGTTTGTGACAAGATGATAGGGTTCTTTTTCTTATCAAGAGAGAAACATTATTTTGAATGGTGGCTAGCAATGGAATCCAGGGCGTACATTCCGTCTGGGAGTGACTCCATTCCAGAGTTGATATTCACTCCGGGACTCGAACCCAGTAATATTAGCTTGACACGTCATCACATTATCCATTGACCTACTGAGTTCAGACAACCACTATCTTGTGCAAACAATCAATACATACATGAATTATGTTGGGACATTTTCATTTTACTCATTTATTGAATCTCAAACATTCAATGTTAAGGTAATATTATCATAATTTATAGATTAGTTACAACAGTTCACGTGATGCGGTGTTTTAAATCTCGTAAGGACACTGATTTTTTTTTATTAACATTCTTTATATATAAATTCTATTCTTTTCGAATGATCATTTCAAAATGGTCACTTTGAGCGTTTCACACTGACACTCATGATGTACTACAACTCTAATAACTTAAAAATCAAAATACTCAAATGTAATCGAACTCAAACTAATAAACTACTCATTTTGTCAACAGATCCGATGCATAGAATAACAAACACTCATAAACTTGGTAGAAGTACTTACCTTGTCTACAACTTATAGACGTACTTTCTACTGAGCACTAAAAAGAATGCTAAGGAATTTAATAATGGAACTTTGGCATTAATAATTATGTATTTCATATAAAAAATATTGACTTGTTTCTAATGTCAATAAGGAACTTTGATTCTATGATGTTTTAGTCAAGTTGTTGAGAATACGACAGTATAAGTCACTGATAATATTAAGTGAAATTCAAATGGATATTATAAATTAACTAATGCATAAAGTGAAGTTTATTGGATTTTGACTAGTTAGTGGTTGAATTGCATGTTATTCATCGTGTGACAGTTACCCTTCCCCCCTTCAGTGCGTTCAATTCTGTATATGCGCTTATGAGTCCCCACTGTTGCTATATAGTTCCAAACTATTTAATGAAACATCTGTCCAATGTCCTTCTCCTTTTTTTTTTATTACTTTTTGAACTAATATCCGTTTACGATGAAAATCGAATTCTCAATTAATTCAATGGTGATTATAATTTTCATCATAGGAATATTGTCAGCCGTTTATATTCAATTGTTATTATTTTCTCTTCCCAAAACAAGATCTATGTAGTAAAGATAGAAAGTTAGGAAGGTTTGTAAGCTAGTAGATAGATAGATAGATATAGATAGATGGGTATGCGGTTAGATACAATTACAAATCAAAATAAATCAACTTTCACCAGACGATAAGATAAAAACTCTCTTCACATATATGTGTGTTTACACATCAATATGAGTAAAAACCGACTCATAAAATTGAGATAATTTGTAGAAAAATTTAAATATTTCTCTTCTAAGTAAAACAAAGTTAAAAAACCTAGTAGAGGGGGGGGGTTAATATTGTTGACGTAAACAGATTTTTTTTAAAACAAGTCCACTCTCCCTTAAAAACAACATGCCATAGTGTCTGTGTTTGTACCCTTACACGTTTCACATGTTATTTCTGTCTCTGAGTAGTAACAGAGAGATTTTTTTCTGGAAGGATCTATATTGCAGAAATAAATTTAAGTGTGTATATATGTCTACACTCGTCTACAATAATATGCGTTTTAATACTTTTCTAGAAAAATTTATTGAGAAACAAGAAAGAAAAGCTTCCAGTGAAAGATAAGACTGATAGTACCCAGAAAATTTGAATTGTGATTTTATACTACTGATTAATTTAAATCATTAATACAAGAACTGACACATCTCATGTTGCGATAGTTAAAATCATGAGTCAATTGAAGTTAGACCACTATGGAAAACTTGGATGCACTGAGACTCCTCAGCAGTGCACATCCACGATCCCGCTCCTCACTAGATTCAAACCCAAGACCTATTAGTCTCGCGCGCGTGCGCTTAACCGTTGGACCACTGAGCCGACATCCAACGATGTTAATGTCTAACTTCAACCGACATCTCATATTGGCACAAATGTTGCATTCTGTTACTTGATTCAGTTACATGTTATTGTTTCCTGCGAGATATCAAATCTACTATAGAAATGCAAGAAAAAAAAACATATAATTAGGAATGTTGAATTACAAGCCTTCAGTGGTGTACATAGTTCATAATTTTTCACTTATCATTTGACCTTGAGATTGAATGTGGCCACAGAGATGTGGTAAACATTATTTGTGAAAATCTTATAGCAATTAGTCCATTTTATAAATTTTGATAGAACAATGAGAAGATGGAGTTGATTTGAAAAATGTGATGTATTTGCGCCATACATTTCGAACAATCTAGTCACGCATATACTTGTCAGGGCATTTTATATGAAAATTAATAAAGGTCAATTAAATGAAAGTTCAAGTAAAAAAGTAACAAAGGGGAGGGGCGGGAGAAACAATTTTACATCGTATAGAAGGAATAAGAAATTGTCGTGCTATCCTAGGCCATAGAATGACTTAAGGATTACCAAGGTAAATTCAAGGTTACGACATTTTTTTTATATATATACGGGGGGTTTAAATTTACGAATAGCCAAGGCTTCAATGAACTTAAGAATTCGTCCTTGACAATTTCCATACAATGTTCTAAAAGCTGTATTAATATGTGACCAAATTGTTCGAAATGTATAACACAAATACATCACATTTTTCAGATCAACTCAGTTTTCTGATTGTTCTATTGAAAATTTTATATTGGATAGTCTCATTGGTTGAAATTTAAATAATTTCAACGTTTCGTTCAATAAACTTGTCTGGACAAATTTTTCACAAATAATGTATTCGCTATACTCGGTTCCCAATTCCTGTCATCATTTTCCAGGTGGCTACTTCGAGTGAAATGGCTAATTGCTACGGTACTTAGTGTTGTAGGACTGGCTCATATGTCTTGGTTTGAGCTATTCTTTATGTTTATCAACCTACCCCCATGTTGACTAGCATTGAAAATCAGACTAGACGGTGGTTAGTCATGTGTAGAGTATGTCTTAACCAGTTCAACTGATGAACTTCGTATTATTCATTTCAAATTGCGCAATAAAATCTCCAAATTTACTTCTAAGTAGTATGGTTTCGAATCTATATCCGTTAAAAAAGAAACACTAACATAAATAAAGCGTAGATTTCAAACAGATCTTCTTTCTTGTCTATATCCTTTCATTAAGTTCCTTTGTTATTTGTTTTCTTCCCTATGTATATCTCTATTGTCTTTTCTTTCACGAATATGTTAAGACCTAATCATTGATAATCATTACTACTAACTATACTTACAATGAATTCTTATTGTTTCTTTTCTAATCTCTACACATTCTTATTTTCCAAGGGTCTTCTTCTTGTTAAAGTGTGTGTGTGTGTGAGAGAGAGAGAGTGAGAGTGAAAGTGAAAGTAGTAGATCAGACAGATTAAAATGCGACAGATCGATAAAATAAAAATACATTATGGATAGAAAGAGAAATAGAGAAATAATGATATTCACACATTCATTAGTACAATAAATTAAGTCTAATTAGAATACTTTGTCTTTATATACTTACTTCATCTGACTTGTTGTGTTAATATTTCGGAAAATATTCATAACATTAATGATATAATACATAATACGTGGAAACAATGTGCATATTTGAAGTATGTTCCGCGAAAACGAGGTATTGTCTTTGTTTAGTGATGAAATAGTATTTGCAAAATTGTAAGAATTGATACTTCTTGCTGGGTTCGAGGCCATATCACATATTTGAGATTGTGAAGTTGGAGGATTTGGATTTGGATATGCAAGAATAGCATTGAAATTATGTTCTAGTGATGATGACGAGTATCAATCACTATAAAATTCAAATCGAACATGATTCTCTACCGACTACTTTCAACCGTTTAATATCAGAATATAGATTCATTTGGATTATTGTTCGTGATGTGTTAATTTCAAGTTACTACAAACTGAATGTTACATTCAATACATTTATCGATAAAGTGTTGTGAGAATAACATGACCATATTATAACTGGACTTTAATGTGTATATATACCTTACCCTTTACAATATGCATAACAACTGATAGAAAAAGGGATAGGATATAGAGCAGACCAATGTTATCTGTAAACAGAAACCCTTATACATTGATTAATTATTTTAGTGAATAGTTACATGTACGTATCATATTTGAAGAGAAGTCATTGATCAATGTTTCACTACACTTATACGTTTATTACAAGTTCTATGATTTGCTAATTTGCTAATTAACTTCTAGCACCATATTTAAGGATATTCGGTTGAAGTTCAATTCAAATTTGTTAATATATGGTAAGATAATTGTAGGGATAGTCATGAATATTAGTGCATAAATATTTTTCAAAAGAACACGCTTTATGTAACCAACATAACATTTTCCACAAGATTAGGTAAATTGGTAGATTCAAGGATCGATTGTTGTTTTGGTTCAGATCGGTGTGTATCTCTATCAGATTAATGATTGTGGATCGTTCTTATTTTTCCTTCGTTTTTTAAACAAATAACCTTTTTTCTACTCTAGCTAATAAACCTATGAATCCAGAAATTCATTCAGCAATGAGTGTAGGCAATGAGAAGTCACTTACATCAAATCATGAAATTCGTTCAGCTGAAGAAATCTTGGTAATCATAATGAAAATTATTATTCTGCATCTTCTTCATCAACATCAATTTCATCATCATCATCATCACTGTCAGCATCATCATCAACACAGTTATCTCAAATTATTGTCATTGTATCTTATGTACTAGGTGCTATACTTTGTTTATTCATCTTGCTAGCTATAATAATTATTATACAGAGAAAATGTAAACATTATTTACATTTTAAACATCAATGTTGTAAACAATTAACAGTTGAAACAACAGGGATTTCACCTAATCAATCCGGTGGATTTTATTCACCACTTTCTTTAATTGGTACATGTGGAAGTACTAATCATCATCCTCATGGAGTGAATAGTTTATTAAATTATAATGTTGTAAATACAATGAATATTCCAGAAGCTGCAAAACTTTTACAATCTTTATCTACGCTATCACCTAATACAAGAACAACGTTAACAACTACAACAACAGATAATTTTGTACATAATAATAATAACAATTGTTTATCGAATAATGGTGGAAATGTTGGCGGTGTCGGCGTCAATCATACTGTTCTGCATCATCCAAATAACATATTACAATATACTATGAATAATAATAGTAATACTTTAGCCACAGAAAGTAATTCAGTCATTGTAAATAATAACAATAATCGATTATTCGGTACAACATGTGCTAATAGTATTGGTGGGATCGGGGATGGTCGTATAAGTAAATTAGATTATGCATCTACAATTGGTCAACCATTACCACCTCCACCTCCCCCCACACTACCAAATGGTTTATTACTACCTTGTATACCTCAAACTGGTGTTGTCGGTGGTATTGGTATGAATAATCATAATCACCCTGGAAAAACTGATCAGCATCACCACCAAATCATTGAACAACCAACAAGTATATATATGCAAACCAATGCTGCTAATCGATTGGTTGGAAATGATTTGAATAGTTTAAATGGAATGAGTAAGTTTTAAGTTGTTCTCTTTTTCGTTTATTGATTATAGGTGTTATTGTTTCTTATTAGTGGTAATTTATTTATGCCTATTTTCAATTCGTCTAGCACATAAAGATAAATGGATCAGTTGATAATTCATAGCTTTTTGACTTATTTCTTTAGATTAATGATCGATTTGAAATTGGTTACTGATTTGTAATTTTGTAGATTCCCTCACTTTTATTATTCACTCAATTAAGTTTGTCTTAGAACATTACCCATAAAATGATGTCTAAACACAATGATAGTGTAAGATGGTGGTTGGAGGTAGTCAACAGGAAACCCTGGACCCGGGTTTCGTGCTATTTGGCACTCGTCAGAAAAGCGTACCTGTAATCTTGAAGGAAATGGTGTTCCCTGACGGATTGGATCCCGTGTCGCCTAGCTTCACAATCAGAGATGTTACCACTGGGTTATCCTGGCCGCGACTGACCTCCTATAGGACTGAGATGTATTCATAAATGATTGATCACTGTGTGGTGATCAATGTCATGTCGACCAAGTTGCAACTTGATCGATAGCACTCGGTCTGCACTAAGAAGGACTTGATACACATGGCATTGATCACCACCCAGTGATCAATCAATTGTGAGAATGATAGTGTGTTGGGTTGTGAGAATTAATTTTATCTAGGCTCTTCACATAGTTATACAGATCTGATCATATTTAGTTACTGTTGTTCTTGTATTATGAACCACAGCGGTGAGACTATAGCTTATGGGTGACCTTGAGAGTGCCCACCTAATAACTAGGACCAATTGTGGCGTTATAAACCTGTGTGATTTACAGTTGACGTTTAAGGTTAGTAATAATATTCAGGGTTTTCATCGCGAACTGATATAAGCTATAATGCCAAAACTCTATTTTGCCAAATTGATGAGTGAATTTCGCGCCAAAATCCAAGATCTGTTATCTTATGGCTGATTGGTTCGTCCATGAATTAGTCTCGCCACCACAGCTATAAATATCATATTTCACCATTTATATTACTTAAAATAATTGAAGTAGTATGAAACTACGGATGTATTGGAACGTTCATCTTAGAGGGCTGGTGGTAGTTTTTCAAAAGTGTGTTTTTCTCGTTGGATTTATTTAGCTGAATAACTTATGGATATTGAAACTCAACTCTTTAAATGTAGATAATTTATGCTTTCGAAATTTAAATGATTTTAAATGCATCTACTCCGTGCAGTAACTAAGTTTCCTTTTACAAGATCTTTTTTTCTCTTGAACGACTTAGTCTAATTGCAATCTTACCCAACTATAGTTTTATAACTGGTGGTGGTTTCTGGTTACGGCTATCATTAAAAATGAGTGATAAGGGTACTGAAAAACTTTTTCGCTTATAGTATCTAGCTTTTTTACAGTGATTGTTCATCACTCTGACTGAGACCGGATCTAAGACGTGTGGGTCTCGGTGTACGTGTAAATTTTTGAATTGGGATGCAACATTTCATATTTTCAACTTAAGTTAGTTCGTGACAGAATTAGAGGATAATCTAATATCATCTCTAATGATTATTGGGCTGAATGTTTTCTGTTGGTTTTTCTGTCCATAATATCTCAAGTGAGGGAAAGAAATTTTATCAAAATTAGTTTTACAGTAACAGTGATTTCAGAGAAATATGTATCCCTTCTGTTTATATACCTACTGTTATCAGTACACTTTATTTATCGGAAAAGATATTGAATACAAATATTAGTTTCGAATTATGTTGTATGTAGCTTGCTAGTGTATTGTCCGTGTCATTGTTTTTAACGTGTTCTTGTTACGTAATCATGGTAACCATGTTACATTCAAATTAGGCATATTACATATTACAGTACAGCAATAAAAAGAGTGGTAATGGTAATAATAGAACAATCTCGTGCATACACTCATAGAAGGACGAACGATACACTATAGTACTATCTTTTCCTTTTCTTTTCCATGTCCGTTCTGCATTTAAAATCGGAAATCTTCATTTCGGTTACATGCAAACAAAATATACGCATACTTTACAAACATACACATTATTTATATGCATATACACTTATAATTCTCTTGTTTACATATGCATAACTGTGTACCAACATGGATTGGTTTCCTATTGTAATACATGTGATATGTGTTGTGTATAGATAATTTTATGCCGAACTTCATTCTGCCATCACTGCTATCACCAATGATAATACAGAAGACAGTCAAATACAAGATAATGGAAGTCTGTATACAAGTGTTCGCAATAGTATATTAAATGGTACTAAAATAGTAACTACTATTCTGATATAAGTTGTACAGATTCAGAACAGGTTGGTGGAGAGAATGATGATTGCTATAGTGGAGTTATTCAAGAAAAAGCAATTGATGGTGATTATACTGTTAGTTGTGGGACTGTATTACGTAGTCCTAATAAAAAGTGTCCTAAAGATGATGTGCTATGTTTGAAGCGATTACGAGTTCACCTAGTCTGCGAACGGAACAAAGACTCTGTGACCAAAGACCAACAAGCTAAGCTATTCGATGCCACCCAGCCCCGCTAACTAGAGAGAAGTCGAAGTTTGGAACGGGGAAGCATATCCCAAAATTATCCACAAACACGAGCGATAACAACAGACAAATCAAACGTATATATACAGCATAAAACTGTCCTTGGAAGCGTTACAAAATAGCATACTAAAATATACAACGGATTAATAGAGTTAAAGATTCTCCCAAGTGGGAAATATGACATTGAAGGTAAAAAGAGCGCTCTTGGCGCGAAAACAAAGAAACTCAAATTTTCAAGATAAAATTACAAAATTAAGGCATTTACCAAGTGAGTTCTGGGGATCTAACATCCCCAACATGATGATGATAATTGTATGTCCAACGTACAGATCAATATCAATTCTATGGATATCACCATATCATTCGAACATAGTGGACTACGTGATGATGAAAACAATGTGAATAATGTGTCAACGTTTAATATTTCATGCGGAAATTTTAATTGGAAGACAACATGTTCGTAATAATAATAATAATAATAATAATAATAATAATAATAATAATAATAATAATAATAATAATAATAATAATAATGTGTGAGATCAGTCTACAGTGTTAAGGCATCAAGATGTGTTGATGAGGAACTGTTAACATGCAAGAACAAAAGAAGAACCAAGTAATCCCCTTGGTATTGTTTTTCTTGAATATTTCCATTGATGTTTAGGACTGAAATTGATCAGTCCCTTATTGGCATATGTGCACACTGTGCTTATTGCCTCGATATTACCTTAATTTACAAACATTATAAGCAAAGATGGATAGTGACTAGCAGTGGAATCCAGGACGCGTGTTTCGTCCTATTTGGAACTCGTCAGCTGGATGTACCTGTATCTCAGAGTTGATGTTCACTCTGGGACTGGAACCCAGTACCGTTCGCTTCAAGTAAACCAATACCAAGTGAATTAAACTTCACCCCATTGTACAAGCAGGAGGCTATCAGGGCTCATTAGCTAAGTGGATAACGTGATGGTGTTTGAGGCGAACGGTACTGGGTTCGAGTCCCAGAGTGAACATCAACTTTGAGATGCAGGTACACCCAGCTGACGATTCCCAAATAGGATGAAACGCGCATCCTGGATTCCACTGCTAGCCACTATCCATCTTTGCTTATATGAACTAAGTAATGTTTATTCATCAGTAAAAAAAAACTGGAATATGTCCTTTATCACAACAAATCCCGCTAATTTTCCTAAGAAATAATCCTGTTATTAGCCATATTAGCAGTAGTAGTAGTAAAAAGCAAAGAACAAACATTAGAACTAGACGTCAGAAACAGTGACCACATTCTGTACACTCGTTACCGGGTTATAGTATAAATGGAATGTACATATTTAATTTAATTCTTACTAAATTAAAACGAAAGTTAGGCGAGACTATGATTTATAGACGAACCAATCGCAGGTCTCAGATTTTGGAGTGGAATTCACCCATCCATTTGGCTAAATAAAGTTTTAGCATTATAGCTTATGTCAGTTCGTGATGAAAACCCTAAATGTAATTCCTAACCCTAACCATTAACTGTAAATCTTAATCCCAATTCCTTACACTGGTTTATAACCCTCATTTAATCCTGATAAGTAGGTAGATATTCCAAGGTCATTTTAACATTGTTCAAAGGTTTTCCATAAAGTATAATCTTACCAAAAATTCAACAACTCTTTTGTTACATGTCAAGATTTCAGAAAACAGTTATTTTTATCTATTCCATACCAGATAACAAGATCTTACCAATATATTCATGTATTTATGTTCATACACATTAATACATATGAATAATACTGAAAATTATTGTAATGATTAGATTGAAATTAAAGAATATCTTATTGTATGAGAATGTTTTTAGTGGATGCCTGATGAAAATATAACATCATCCATTAAGTAATTCACTGTTGAACTGAGTCATATTGTTAGTTGTATAGACCAAACTACTAGGTTGAGGTCTTCGTGAATTGTTATAATGAGTTTTTAAAGATACATTAAACGACATGGCTCAGAATAAGTCTTCAATGGTAAAAATGCATTCATTATTTATGTTCCATTCTTGAATTTATAAATTATTTTATACATTTCATTCTGCTAACTTATTCTTTCTTTAATTATATTTCCTATGCCTAATATTTTATATTGCCATTGATATTATAACTACTTCTACTACTCTGGTATTTGTCAGAAGAATTTAATCTTGCTATGTTTATATGCTGTAGCAACTTCAGTCGATGAACATATGTACTAGGTTCTAAGTTGCTTATAACTAACTGATTAAAAATAAATGAACATTTTTTAAAACCCTTGCTGAACCTTCACTAGTCGCCTTGTCCATCAGTGTTGATAAGACTTCCAGGACAAGTGGAGCGAATCATAAGCTTAACAGTTTTATTACCTATGATTAGACCGTATATTGACTCAGAACAGTCATGAAGCGTCATTTTACAGTTAAAA